CACGTGGAATAAGAACAGTCTACCCCAGTGAGCGAAATAAAGGGTTCAGTTCGACATTCCAACCACCTGAAGAAGGCCGGAGCGTATAACAGACGAAACGTTGTAATAAATATGGCGACAAAGATGAGGACAATAGTTCGAATAATGTAAATAGTATAACTTAGAGAACAACAACAAAAAAAAAAAAAAAAAACTTTAAAAGACATTGAATTGCAGAGGAAGAGGCAATGCAGAGGAAGTTATTGTGAACAAGAAGAAAAAAAAATGTCAAGGAGTCAATGTCGCTGTCCCGGGAAACTAGAGAGGAGAATAGGAAGAAAATCAAAAGCTGAAAATTTATTTAGACCTTGTGAGAGAAGTGAAACATGCGGTGCCAGCTGTACTCATCATTATTGGTGAGCTCGGATCAGTCTCGATGAAACTTTAGGTTAGAAGAATTGAAAATCCGAGGCAGACACGAGATCCTCCAAACGACAGTATAAATATATTTTTAAAATCGTTTCACCCCTAGCAAGGCGATAATGCCACTAAGACACAAGGGAGTAACTGCGAGTAAAAGAATTAAATATTTTGAACAAATTTTGTGACTTCAACTATCGATAAAATGTATTCGTAACTTTACTATATGTATTGTTAATTTTACTCTTAATAAATATGTCTGGTTGATTTTGTTTAGTGGCATATCAATACCTCTATGGGTTATTTCATGCTAAAATTTAAATATTTTGTACGTAATTTTATGCTTTCAGCTACAGAAATTTTGTACATAATCCTATACTCTCAGAGTAAAGGTATGCTTTTTTAGATATATATTTTTGTATTGATGGTAATTTTACTATAAAAACTGTATTTTTATATTTTATAGTGTTGCACTGTTATTTTGATTAAAAATGTATTGTTGCTCATTTTATTACTAAAATGCACTGTTAATATTTTGTTTGGGGTTTACTATTTGCCCATAACTGTGACCCTAACAGGTGCTACCACCCCAGATCAGACTGGACTTGGGGACAACAGAAGCATTATGTATTACTACATCCCATATTGTATGATGAGCTGAGTTAATAAAAAAAGGCATGACACTTAGAATTAAAGTAATATAGACGAAATAAAGAGTTTGGTTCGAAATTTCAGCGTATATCACCTGAAGAAGGAAAGAGCGTACAACGGCCGAAACGTTGGCAATAAAGATGAGGACAACAGTCCGAACAATATAAATAGTGTTATTGGTGACAATACCTCATCTCAGAAATATAGACAGATTCTGAAGAAGGCCAGAGCGTACAACGACCGAAACGTCGTGATTATGGTAATAAAGATGAAGACAACAGCCCGAACGTTATAAATAGATATCATTCTCTATCTCATTTTATTAGGCAAACAGAGAGCGGTGATGGTTCTCCATATCTTCCATTTTTATTGCCTTCTGTAATAATTTTTACTTTAACACCCATCATTTTGTGGTTTTTATACCAACAATTATTTTCTCAAATTTGTTTTCTGTTTATTCGCTGTTTCCCGCTGTTCTCTGTGGGTATTACATTCTCCATGCCTTCTTTCCTTATTATGCTTTTATTTATTTTTTAATCGAATTCACCCTTTGTAAGACAATAATGCCACTGAGACACAAGGGGTTACTAGGTGGAAGAGAATTAGAAAACAGAATCATTACTGAAGAGCGAGAACTATAGAAGAGTAATCAGTAAGACGCTTAAAATTTCATCTGTCTCATTCTGATTGTTTTTATACTCGCCGCACGACCATTGCTTCCTCTCCTAAGTTAATATTAATTCAATTCGTATTTGATCAATATATGAGATGAACCTACAATTAGATACTTAATAAGTAATAAGAGATGAACCGAAGTGACATCAGAATAAGGAAAGATGCTTATTAGAAACTAAGAAAAGTATTAGTCCACATGCCCACATACTCACACATTGTGTGTGTGTGTGCGTGCGTGCGTGTGTGCTGAGACATTGAGAAAGCCAGACATGAATATCGACCTCGCTCTGTTTATTGACACATCAAACATGAGAGGCCGTCCGTTTGTAGTAAAAAAACAAAAAAAAAAAAAAAAAAACAAAAACACGAAGCATCAATCTTTCGCTAATGTGTTTCCTTTTCTTATCAGATTGTTTCTCTACTGACGACTCTAAAGCAGGATCTGTTCATTTCTCTTTGATCCGGGTTTAATTTGACACCAGCCGACAAACTTCGAGAGACGGCTCAAAAGACTGAGCACCAAGAAGGAGTATCAAGAAAGAAGGCGCAAGTCAAGTCGACTTGAGGTGATTTGGGGATAAAAGAATTGATCTTGTCCTTTCCTAATCCGTTTTGTTTCTTATTCTTTTTTTTTCTTTCTTTTCTACTTTACTTTTTTCTTCTTTTTCTTCAATTCCGATTCAATTGATTTGCTTGTATCTTTTTTAGTTCATTATTTACTTTTACAGTTTTTTTTCTTTTACTAAGGAAACGATTTACGTTAATAAAACAAGTATAAGCACTTGGCCACGGCTTCCAAATATCCGATTCTTTCTTTCTTTCTTTCGTTCTTTCTTGTTTGCTTTCTCTCTTTCTTCCTTTTCAATTTCCCTTTCTTTCTTTCTTTCTTTCTTTCTTTCTTTCTTTTCATTTTCCCTTTCTTTTGTCTTTCTTATCATTTTCCCATTTCCTTCTTTCGTTCTTTCTTTTCTTTTCTTTTCATTTCCCTTTTCTTTCTTTCTTTCTTTCTTTCTTTCTTTCTTTTAATTTTCCCTTCCTTTTTTCTATCTTCCTCATTGTACTCTCAATTAAAAGTTGAATCTTGATCATCTTCGCTTTATTAAAAGTATAATTTCTGTGTATAATGCTCGATCTATGTGTTTGATATTCACCTTTGAATTAAGTGCATTGACAAGGAAAGAGATTATTTTGAAAAATAAGTATTTGTTGTATGAAATAAATGCTTTTCTGTTATTAGTCTGTCGACTTATTGACATAATATAAAAGAAAGAAAAAAAGTCCTCAGGATCTGTTCACTATCCAGTTAGCATTTTGTTTTATGTCTCTGTTGTTGGCTGAAATTCTCGGGATGATCATCCCTCTCTCTCTTTCTCTCTTGCAAATCTTACGAGGAGATTAGGTTTGGAGCTGAAAAAATGGCGATCATACGCCAGAACATTAATGGAAGGGAAACATTGGAAACTTAGTGGAAAACATTTACTTTGTTTAATACATCAAAAAGGAAGGATTATCTATCTATCTATCTATCTATCTATCTATCTATCTATCTATCTATCTATCTATCTCATTCTGTTCTGATCTATCTATCTATCTATCTATCTATCTATCTATCTATCTATCTATCTATCTATCTCATTCTGTTCTGATCTATCTATCTATCTATCTATCTATCTATCTATCTATCTATCTATCTATCTATCTCATTCTGTTCTGATCTATCTATCTATCTATCTATCTATCTATCTCATTCTGTTCTGATCTATCTATCTATCTATCTATCTCATTCTGTTCTGATCTATCTATCTATCTATCAATCTCATTCTGTTCTGATCTATCTATCTATCTATCTATCTATCTATCTATCTATCTATCTATCTATCTATCTATCTCATTCTGTTCTGATCTATCTATCTATCTATCTATCTATCTATCTATCTATCTATCTATCTCATTCTGTTCTGATCTATCTATCTATCTATCTATCTATCTATCTATCTATCTATCTATCTATCTATCTATCTCATTCTGTTCTGATCTATCTATCTATCTATCTATCTATCTATCTATCTATCTATCTATCTATCTATCTATGGTATAAATAAAATCAACGATGAATATATTGTAAATAATCCTTATACATGTTCAGCAGGCGAGAACAATCATTCCTTGCAGATTAAATAAAGGGTTTTGTTCAAAATTCCCTGAAGGTTACCCGTATCGTCAAACAGCTGATGAAGACCGTGGTATAAAATTATCGAAACGTTGGAATGATGATAACAAAGATGAGGACAATAGTTCATATGCAAATAATGATAGCTTCTCATTTCAGAAAATTAGATAGAAAACAAATAACATAACTAATGATTAAAAAAATGCCATACCACTTCAGCAAGTAGAGGTTCCGAGATTTGATGCCTACCAAGACTAAACAGCTATTTAATCCATGACTTGGGGGGAAGAGAGAGATTCATGCCTTTAGCAAAGTAAACGGAATAGACTAGGCCTGAACTTGAACTGGGCTCGCCTATTCTAGTTTCTACTACAGGCGTTGCACAATCCGTAAATTGTGTACTCCCTGATATAAAATGAATTCCGTGTAATATTATACACAAGGCAGAACCACTTGGATATATAAGGTGCTGTAAGATTCGATGTGCGGGTGGTGTAATGAGTAATAGCTCAGAATTGTTAATCGGAGAGCCGAGTTCGAATTTCAGTTGGATTCGTTATATTCACTTACGCGCAAATAACCTTGAGAAAGGTATGAATCCACCTCTTCTTCCCCCCTAGCTACGGGTTAATTAGTATGACATGTAACGCTAAAATCATGATTATTTTGAAAAAAAATTAAACTTTTTCTGGTTTTAAATAACCTGCAAAGGGTTGATAACTCGTAAAAAACGAATAAATCAACATGAAGTAGAATCAGGTGAAAATAAAAGCTTGATCAAATTTATTTGTGATCGAATTTTGGTGATAATGTTTCGAGTGTGAATAACACTGAGTTTTTTTTTTCCGAAGCTAACTAACAATAGTCAGAATCAAAAGCCATGAAGAATGAAGATTTTTTTTTGGTAACTCTCAATTTATGGCAGCCATCCCAATTCTTCTGACTTTAGATATAAGCGTATAATATTCATCGTCTTTTCTGTGTACCCACCTTGACTTACCCGGTAACGTACCCGCTTCTCTTCCTCTCGATAGCTCAAATAAATTGCTATCTCTGTAAATTAATCATTGCAAATGAAATAAAGTAGCAAAAGCGAGCCAACCGTCTATGCAGAAGTCGAATGTGATGAAACTGCAGTGTGAAATAGACACATCAAAGTGAAAGGAAAGATCGAGATATTAGAAAGAAAGAAAGAGAGAGAGAGAGACAGAGAGAGAGAGAGAGAGAGAGAGAGACACAGAGAGAGAGAGAGAGAGAGAGAGAGAGAGAGAGGTGGGATGGGGGGTGTTGGTAAAAGGGCAGGCGAATATAGAACAGTGTAAATCTGAATTTTATCCAAACCACTATAAGGAATGCTCCCTGACACTTAATATTCATTCCTTTCTGCTTGTCATGTCCCCACTCTTCCTGCAACTGTTGATATACTATTCTGCTGATTCATGCACTGCAGTACAATGTCGTTATTATTCCGCCAAATGTCTTTGATTTTCTTTCTTTCTTTCTTTCTTTCTTTCTTTCTTTCTTTCTTTCTTTCTAACAACGTTATTTCTTTCTTTCTTTGTGTCTTTCTTTCTTTCTTTCATTCCTTATTTCGTTCTTTCTTTCCAACAGCATTTTTATTTTTTTCATTCTTTCTTCGGAACTGCATTTGTCTTTCTTTCTTCATTCTTTCTTTCTCTTAACAATCTCCGTTCTTTCTTTCGTTCTTTCTTTCTGATAGCATTTTTCTTTCTTTCACACTTTCATTCCTTCTTTTTTGTAACAACGTTTTTCTTTCTTTGTTTCTTTGTTTCTTTGTTTCTTCAAACAACCTTCTTTCTTTCTTTTTCCTAATAACGTTCTTTCTTTCTTTTTTCTTTCTTTCTCACTCTCTTTCTTTTTTTTTTTTAACAGCATTCTTTCTTTCTTTCTTTCTTGGAGGTTTTTTTTTATTAAGTTAGTTCTTCCTTCCTATCTTTTTTTTTCATACACATTTCTCCTTTCTTTCTTTCTTTTTTTATATTCCTTCCTTCTTTAATAACTTTTTCTTTTACTCGTTTTTTTCTCTTGTGAATTGATATTTAAAACTTGCTTTGTAATCAAACTGACATTTTCCCCTTAGTATATATATATATATATATATATATATATATATATATATATATATATATATATATATATATATATTATTCAATGAAAATGTTATATATTTTGATACTCCTTCTTTCTTTGTCGCGCATGCCTTGACTCCTTTCTCATATTATTCCAGGACTCTTTTTCCCTATTGACTGTATATTTTCAAGTTCAATCCATCTGAGAAGAAAACAAATGACAAAAGCCCAGCCTGTATATCTTCCAAAAGAGACTCTGATTATTTCTATCGGATATTTGAGCAGAGGTAATAACGCCAGCTGCCACCAGCTCTAATATTTTAATCGTCAGAAAACAGTCAATAATGTTTCCATTTGTTTGCCCAGTAATTCTTTGACACGTGAACACTTACAAAATATTCGCACACACAATTATACTAGAGACACACAAGCAAGCACGTGTGAAGGATCATCGGCATTTGCACACACAAACAAGCACACACACACACACACACACACACAGAGAGAGAGAGAAAGAGAAAGAGAAAGAGATAGAGAGAGAAGGAAAGAAGGTGAATCAGAAAGAACGAGAGAAGAGGTAGACAAGCACGTAGATAGATAAACAACAAGGAAGGTTCATTTATATACATAGGCAGACAGACAAGGAGGAAGATACATTTAGATAGATAGATAGATAGATAGATAGATAGATAGATAGATAGATAGATAATGAACAGACTGAGATAGATAGATAGATAGATAGATAGATAGATAGATAGATAGATAGATAGATAGATAGATAAGGAAGCTGCATATACATAGATAGACAGATAAGGAGAAAATACATTTAAATAAATAGATTTAGATAGATAGATAGATAGATACAGACAGACAAGAAAATACATTTAAATAGATAGATAGATAGATAGATAGATAGAAATCAAGGAAGGTATATTTAAATAGATACATAAACAGACAGACAAGAAGGAAGATGCATTTAGATAGATAGATAGGTAGATAGATAGATAGATAGATAGATAGATAGATAGATAGATAGATATAGAGTCAAGAAGGAAGATACATTTAGATAGATAGATAGATAGATAGATAGATAGGTAGATAGATAAGAAGAAAGATACATTGAGAAAGATTGATAGATAGATAGACAAGAAAATGCATTTAGATAGATAGATAGATAGATAGATATTAAAAAGTTTTGAATATGCATTCTAATTACAAATGATGAGTCTTCTTATGCTTCAGAATTTAAAGTTCACAAGTTCAGGTGTCTGATCAACCAAAATGTCTACGGTTTTTGGGCTAATTTTAGTTGGCATTCATTTCGGCATGATTGATAAATTGATTTGTTTTTTTTTATAGCTTATTAAAAATGTTCACCTTATTTAAAGCCAGGAAATATTTCTCGATTGTAAGAATATTTTGGAGATAATAATGATTTATCGATACAAGTTCTACTAATTAACCCGTAGTTGAGGTAGACAAAGTGCATTTATACCTTTCCCAAGGTTATTTGCGCGTAATTGAATATAACGAGACCAAATGGAATTTGAACCCCGTTCTCCGATTTCCATTTCCATATTCTGAGCCGTTATCCATACACCACCCGCACATCCAGCACTTGATATTCCCACATGTGACGGTTGTTAACTCGGGTGATCATATCACATTGAAATCGGTGTTTCAATGTGATATGACCGTAAGCCCTAAACTACTTATCTTAGTTGCTACCATCTGAATGTCTTATTGGCTCATTTACTCTTAGTTTTTTTTAGTTGCTATTGCAAGTCAAGAGTAGAGGTTTTATTGTTCATTTTCTTTGGACATATTTTTGTCTTTGATATAATTAATAGAAGATTTGACACATTAATTCTTCAAATTTAAAATGTCACTGAATTTAATCTGGAAAAAAATTCTGCATATTTACTAAGTTTGGCATAAGACAAGTAAAGATGCGCTGCAGCATTATGCTAAATCAGCATGTTTTGACTGCCAGGAAAAAGAGTACTTGAAATCCTGGCTTTTAAAATTTTGCATCTGGCACCAAGGGAATTAGACAATTATTACAGTCATAAGGCAGCCCACCTCACTAAAAATATTTATTATATTTAACAAAGAATATACATCTCTCCAAACTAAAGACATTTATTATGTTTAGCGAAGTACACTCATCTTTCCAGGCTGAAGCCATTATGTTTAGCAAAACACTAATCTCTCCAGACTGAAGACATTTATTACGTTTAACAAAGTACACGCATCTCTCCAGTATGAAGAGTGTGTTTTCTTAAGGTAATTTTTTAGTGTAGCTTAGATATGGCGCATAGACGAATATATGGGGCATCCAATGAGAATTGAACTCACTATCTAGTTGTTCTAGCGAGACAAACTTGTTAACTATTGCACAACATCGAAGTTCCCAGAGTATGCCCTCTTAAGATCACCATTTACAATCGCTCCCTATTTAAAAAAACAAAAAAATAAAACACACACATCAGAATACCAACACTTTGGTTTGAACCCTGTCCACTGGCATTGATTAATATTTTTTTCAACCACGAGGCAGGACAATGTAAGAATTTAATTCCATTACTCTCATTGATTTTATTAAACAAAAACAAACTCTGTGATCTGTTCTATGAAACGTCTGTGGCTATTGGATTCATTTTTGTTTCTATCCATTTTGACTTGCGGAATTATTATTATTATTATTATTATTATATGTCGCTGATTTCTTGGGACGAGCGTCCTTATCTTGGTTGTTATTATCGCAATGTTAATGCTGACTGTTTTATCCTGTAGCCTTCTTTAGACACCTGCGTAAGCTTAAAGAAATAATAATATATATATATATATATATATATATATATATATATATATATATATATATATGACACTTTAACTAAGAAAAATAATAGGTCTTAAGACCTATAAATTCCATTCCTAAAGAAAAAAGAAAGTTGAAGAAGGAGAAAAGCGGTATTAAGTTTAAGATTTCAAATTTTCACTGTCCTGGTATGCGCTGTTTCAAACGATTTCGTAAATACTTTTTGTCTAGCTTCTTCTTTTCTATTTTCAGATATGTGCGGATGTGCAGGCGGTGCAATAGCTAGCGAATCAGAACAAGAAATCTGCGAGACCAATTCGAATTCCTGCCGAGCTTGTTACATTAACTTTCGCACAAATATCCTTAGAAAAGGCATTGAATCCATCTCTTCTCCCCCAACTATGGGTTAAATAGCAGGGAATACTGGGCACCTTTTATCAGTCGTTGGATAGTTAAATTCAGAGGTATTCAAATCCGTATGAAGCCCTGGTGAATCACATCCGATGCAGACAAGGAAAGGATTGCGGATTTCATAATGACTTCCGACTACAGTCGATTTGATAGATATATATTTGTTGAATTTAATAAAGTTTTGTGCAAGGCCACATTCATGAAGCATCTGTTGAGAAATGGATGTGACAGAATAGCTCGCCAAAGATATATGCATCTCGTTTTACTCTAAACTTGAAAATCGGTCGAGTTTTACAATGGCTACTGCGACCATAAATACTCTTTTTTGTTCATATTACTATAGATTAAATAGATTCAAATCACGAATATAAAAAAAAAATTATTAAAGTTTACGAACGTGGGCGTCCAATTTTCGAGTTAAATCCACTGTAAATTGATCACCTCCTATGGAATCTATAGAATAATTGGCCATTTTTAAATGCAATTGGTTGAAATACTCAACAAAATAATTGACAAAATTTGCAATAAAAATTATTAGAGAAGAAATCGGACAGGGTAAAAGTAATCTTAAGCAAGCAATAAATATACGCAAGGTAAATAAATAGTAATAAGGTAAGAAGTTCATGAATGCTATGAATGGTGTTAACAGACAAATGGGGGATGCAAACAAGCGACCGCAGCGTTCTGGCTTCAAGACAAGAAAGAACGTAAATCGGATGAGATTGAGAAGTGGACAGCTTTATTGGTTAAGAAATCTCAGCATGTATCTATAGGGTCTGTCTATAAATCTGGGGAGGGAGAAGATTTTGCAGTCACACTCACCAGATTGGATTAATTCCCACAAAGATTTTAAAAAAAAGTTCTCCACTGTTATAACATTGTTATTTGTGTCCTCTTTGTATTAAACATTAGTGTAATGTGGTGATCCCGACCGCAGTGGCGGAGTCTCCCCAACGACAGTCTCCTAAATATCCCTCGGCCTGGGCCTCCAATAGACCCGAAATGAAAGACGAGAACCGGAACTCCCAATACGAATATTTTAGAGTGTTTGGGTGCCAATCTGCGGACAGTTCAGAGGATTTGGAAAGAGTTTGATGAGTCTGATGGTGATTACGAAGTACGGCAGCTCGGAAAACTCACTCTGATCGTTATGCTAAGAAAAGAACACCCAAATTTGGTGGTGAGGGCCTCTGACTCAACACGGAAGCCTGCATCAAGTGCCTTGAGCAGGCAGTGTTCCCTAGGTCAAAAGGGTGGCTGCTGGGAAACCCTGTGTCTGACAACAGGGCTCTGCACCATGCCACATAATAGGAGAACCCAATCATGGCTGTCAGACAATTTCTGCAACCACATCACCCCTTACATATTATGTGTGGGGCACAGGTGAGTGAGAAACCAACAAAACTCTTTATAGCACCAAAGATGAACTGAAAGCAAGTATTATGGCAGCATTCAACAACTTAAATAAGGAGACCGTCCAGAAGAGTTGCAGGAGATTCCGTAAATGTTTGAATGCCTTGGTTGAAGCCAATGGCGATTTTATTGAATAAATTTATTCTTTAGTATTTTAAGATATTTTTGTGTTATATTAATTTTGGCGTCATTTAGACGACAATTTATCCAACGCACCCTTTATATCTGTTAAAATGAGACGTCAGTGCTATTTTCATTTTTTTTTTTGCGTCATTTACACGACAATTTATCCCTCGCATCCTGTATTTTGAAACGAAAATTTGTTCATTTTTAATATAGAGGATTTAAGTACATTTCAGTATAAATCGCGCACGAAATATCAAAATAATTCTCTTAAGGACATAGTTTTCAGTGAAGAGATGTTAATTTTAAAAATGGTTACGCATAGAAAAAGAACTTCTTTCTGATATTAAAGAACGAATTTTTTATTGCGCAAACAGAACAATAGCGCCCCAAAATAACTAGTCGATTGATTTTAAGCAAAAAAAAAAAAAAAAATAACTGTTTCCGAAAATTTTGCAAAATAGGAAGAAAAGTGGAAAACTAGGAAGTGTACAGAAGCGACCAGGTTGACTCTACAAATTGATTCGAAGGTCTATTCGTTATATGAAGACATTAGTGGATGAAAAGCTAAGAGATCCGGCGGTTGTTAAAGAAGTTTGTGCCATTAATGTTTTGATTAAAATAGTCAAATATTCCTTAAACAAGATTTGCTGAGATGGCCGAAGATTGCGTAGGAAACTTACTGAATACTGGTCGACTTGTTTAAAGTTTGAACGAAAATGTTTTAAAACGTCAAAGTTTTGGGACAGCATACTGACGAAGCAAAAATCAATCTCCTTGCGTTCCGGCGTGTTTGACGACGTCAGGTTACAAAGGAACAGTGTTTTGTATCAAGAATTAAGGACAGCGGGTGGAAACATCATGGTTTGGAGTTGTGTCACCTCTAATGGTACTAGTGAGCCGCCTTTCATTTGCGGAGATTGGCGCAAAATGTTTTTTTACATTCAAATGAATGGATTCCTAGCGAACGTTATTTTGTATAATTTTGTTTTCTTTTGTATACAAATACAAACTTGTATCCTTCTTGTGAGACAGGGTTCGTAGCTTGTGGTACATTATAACAGAGAGAGAGAGAGAGAGAGAGAGCGAGAGAGAGAGGGAGAAGGAGGAGTAAGA